GGTTCAAACCCACCAGCCACTCCTCGGAAGAAAGGTTGGCCAATCTACTTCCGTAGTGATACTGCCTCTGAAACCCAAGGGGGGTCGCTATGAGTTGGGTCCGACTTTATGGCACGTAACAACAATCTTTAGTTACGTGAAAAATGTCATCAAAATCCAGTAACTGCTTTGAAACTTGTCGTATAACAGATAAAGCAAAATTGGAAAGTAATTGGGTTAAAACAGAAATGGAAATTCACTGAGTTAATCATACTGAATAGATATTAACTTTGGATAAACCACTGTGAGAAAAGCCCTAGCCTCGTAGATAATGGACATGAAAGACAGGCCTGGAATAGTAGTGGTAATAATAATAATAGCAACTATTTAAGCATTTTATGGATTTTCCATGGGAAAAAAGATGTGGCAGTCTGCTTCCACAAAGATTTACAGTCTGGTAACCCCATGGGGCAGATCTACTCTGTCCTATAGGATGGCAATGAATCAACTCAACAGCAGTGGGTGTGGGTTTTATCTCATTGTATCTTCAAATTCACTTCAATTTGTACTATGTTGTTTTGTTGTTATGTGCTGTCAAGTCTGACCCGACTTATAGCGACCCCTCCTTGAGTTTCCGAGGCAGCATCACTATGGAAGTAGATTGCCCATCCTTCCTTCCAAGCAGTAGCTTGTGGGTTTGCACTGCCAGCCTTCTGGTTAGCAGTCAAGTGCCTTAGGTACTTCGCTACCAGAGCTCCTGTTCATCTCTATTTTTTTGAGTGAGGAAACCAAGCTACAGAGTAGCTAGATAGCTTGTCAAAGGTTACAGAACTGGTATGTACCAGAACCAGAACTCAAACTTTCTATAGAGCTCCTACTCTTAACCACTACTTTATGTTCTTTTCCATTGCCCTATTCAATGGGTAGAGGTGGGATTTGGTCCTAGCCACTCTTTTCAAAGGTATGTTAGGAATCCTAGATAAAATTATTACTGAATAGTAGAAGATCACTTAAAGCAGGCAGACTAGCATCAGGAATTAACTGCTTACCTGCACAACAGATGGGATTCTCTCTTGAAGTTTTGCACCTAAAAAAGAGGGGGAGAGTAAATTTAATACAATCAAATACCCACAATTTTTACACAGTGTTACCAAAACTAGGATGATTCTCATTAAGGATATGTCAACGCAAGATATTTTCTTACTCCTTCCTTCTACAAAGGTTATTAAGCACCTATTATGTGCTAGGCAGGGCCCTGGGGGCGAAAGTGGTTTGTGCTCAACTACTAACTTAAAATTAGCATTTGCGCCCACCCAGTGGCACCACAGAAGGCATCCGTGGCAATCTGCTTCCACAGAGATATTGCCAAGATGACCCTATGCAGCTCAGTTCTATTCTGTAACACATGGGGGTAGTCATGAGTCAAAATAAACTTGACAACAGTGGGTTTTGTTTATTTGTTTGTTTGTTTTTTAATGTGCCAGGCAATGTGCTAGGTTCTGAGGATGAAAAAATAAGTAAGATGCCTCTACCCATGCTCATGTTGGGAAAGATACATGTAAACATATCTGAGCGACAATATAGTATTCATTGAGGACAGAAACATGTACAAGACATGGTAGAATACAAAGGGAAGTGTGTTCACCTATCAAGAAGATGAGACTATTTAAACTGAGTCTTACAAAAATTAGGCATTGTTCATAGTTATTTGGCACTGGAAGAAAAGTATTCTAGGCAAGGATATGAAAGTAGTATGCTTAGCGGGCAGCAAGCAGCTGGGTAAAATTGGAACTTAAGCTGCAGAGAAGGACAGGGTAGGAGAAAAAACTGGAGATGCAATCAGGGGCCAGGTCATGAAGAACCCTATACACTATGCTAAAGAGTTTGGTCTAGACTCTAGGCAGTGGGAAGCTCTTGGCAGATTTTAAACGTAAGAGTGATATGAACATGGTACAGCTATTATGGAAAACAGTGTGGCACTTCCTCAAAAACTAAAAATAGAACTACCCTATTACCCAGCAATTCCACTTCTAGGTATATACCCAAAAGACATGAAAGCAAGGACTCAAAAATAATCTTGTCACCAATGTTCGTAATTATTCACAATAGTCAAAAGATGGAAACCACTAGCCTATCAACAGATGAATGGATAAACAAAATGTAGTACA